GACCAAGTGCTTGTATGTTTGTGTCACACTCACATAATGCATGCCTCCTTGCTGAATCTGTTGTCATAGGGCGTTCCTGAAGGCTCATGCTTAGATAAGGAATTCTCCCCATCTGGTCATCTCCCTCCCACCCTCACTTGCCACGCATCTTGTCCTAGGCCTTGTCTAAACTTACTGGCACTGTCAATCTATCTGAAATAGTGTCCCCTGAAGTTGACATACTCGCCACAGCCTCTTGCATGTGGTAAGGTCGGCAGGAGCTGCTTTCCCATTGGTGCCAGCTACTCTTCTTATCTCAGTGTCAAAGGGAGTGCACTCGGAGATCAATTTAGCGTGTCTAAGTAGACTGGATAAATCAACGGCCACTGGAGCAGTCACTGCAGCATTGATCTGCCATAGAGTATAGACGAGGCCCTACTTTGCTAGGCCTATCCTCTGTCAGTGTAAGGTCCCTAAGTCACCTCGTGCCTGTGATGGGACTTAGTGCTCTCACAGCTGTGGCCAGTAGGGCAAGATCTGGGAGCCAAGAGGAGCACCCTGATTGCCTCTTTAATCTCTCATCACCACTGTGCCAGGTAGATCTTCACCCATATGTATCCACAGCCCTCTGATGGGAAATGCACTAGTTGACTTCTACATTTTTCTGCTGTTCCAGTCAGTGCAAATGATGTAAAATATTCCTGCCACAAAACTTGACTCTCCCTTGACCTATGAATAGAAAGTTATTGTTTGAGGCAGTAGGCTTTTTTGCTCACCACGGCTTTATTGTAAATCATTATTCCCCTATGTTTCACAGCCAAGGTTACTGCCTGCAGTTTAAATCAGACATAGCAATCTCCTAAGCTCCTGAATTGTGTACGCTGATAAATATAACCTGGCCCTTGTTTGTTGTAGCAGTGTAAGTGGCTAAGAAGCCTGGTATGAATAATGTGCAAGATAAAGATGTATCTGTAAATCAAAATAAGAGGAACGCTGGGCTCAATGCAGCAGAAAACCTTCTATAAGCAAGATTTGGGAACCAAATGTTTTTTTCGCTTTGGTCTTGGCCTTTGATGGATTTTCTCTCTAATTCTAGAGCAAGAAGTCAAATATTCCTCTTCGTTCAGGTCTACTCTAAAAAGTTAGGTTTGACCCCAGCTACGTCATTCAGGGATATGAAAAATCCACACCTCTGAGTGGCAAAATTAAGCTGATCTAATCCCTGGTATGCACAGCATTAGGTCAAGGGAAGAATTCTTCTGCCCACCTAGCTGTTTCCTCATGAGGAGGTTGGATTAACTACATCAATGGGAGAATGCCACCTGTTGCAGTATAGCATGTCTGTGCTGACGTGCCACATCTGTACTGTTCTAGTGGTTTAAGTGTAGACAGTGTAACAACGGCAGAATAATTTAGCACAAAGTATTCAGGGAGATTGTAAGGTCTCTGTCATCTGATTTGCCTGTAAAGCACCATGTGTACCAGCGTCACCATCACTGATTTACTGCTGTGTAAACAGTTCAGAATACAGCCGCTCCCTGAGTTGCGAACGGTCGAGTTACGACCGTTCGCACTTACAACCAAAGCTCCCATGGAGCAGTTGTAAAGGCAGTCCCTGAGTTACGAACGCGACCCGTGCTTACGAACAGCGCGGTCGCGTGTAACTCAGTGGGGTCTGAGTTACGAACGGATCGAGTTACGGCCAAGTGTTTGGTCCGTAACTCGGAGAGAGGCTGTAGTTAGAAAAGATACCTATATATGGTGCTAAATGCTGAACACTCAGTTCATACTACAGCCTAGCCCTAGACACAGTTAGGCAGGAACTTGCTAGCCAGACACTCACCAAAAAAAGTGCTTTCCCACCTGTCTCGGTGAAAGGAGCATACCGTAAACTGCGTTAAATGGCTGTCTTCGCAGCAGACCCAGTATATAGTGCTAGTGTTGCCAACTGGTATCTAAAATGTCCCTTAAGGTTTACTAAGAAAGACGTACCTTCTCCTGCTAACGTTCATGTGTATAGTAGTGTTATAACGCAGTGCAGCGTTGGCAACTGAATTCCTTGCAGAATGGGACAGGTAACGTTAATGGGCTTTTAGGCAAGCTAGAGATACCATGCACACGTCATGTCCAGCTATGATGCACATTCCTGCCTGAAGTGTTCACATTCTATTTGAAAACTAGATGCAATGAGAGTCTATGACAAATAGAAAGGGGACTGGCAAAAGCACAAGGGGCATAACAATACAATTACACAGTTAACAATAGTTGGCTCATTCCTAAATACATGATGTCAAAAAAGTATTGCCTCTGATTTCAGTGGATTCAGGATTAGGCCCCACGCTAGCTACAGTGCAAATCAGGTTTCCTGTTACACCATATTGATATTTATAATCATGACAATCAGCTAAGTAAATTACCATTAATTATTATTAACATCATCATCTCCTTTTTAATACTGAAGGATGCACGAATTGGGATGATGAATTGTGTAGTTCAGAAAATCTTTTTCCAAATCACCCAGCTTTCAAGCAAGATGTTCTGCTAGACTGAGTGTGGCAAATGTTCTAAAACGTGCCCAGGTGAAGCGCTTTCCATTGGATTTTAAATGGTGGATGTTCTTCTGAAAATTAACTTTTCCAGCGATCTGTAAACATAGTGTATGTTTAATTCACACTCTCACTTCAAAGGAAATTAATGTAGTAGCATCATTTTGCACCTTTGAATTTAACTATTGACCAGTAATAAAATGCTGTTTAAAAGAATTGTAGCGCCACACAGTGTTAAAATTGCAGAACTGCAAAGCTGTTGTTCAGTGTTGTCCTAAAGATTTTTTGTGTTGTTTCTGAACAGAATATTCACCTAAATATGTCTGGGCTTTTTTTCAGTGAGTTCTCTAATGTAACATCAACATGGTAAGTTCTTTTTTCACACTTCTTGTCACTAATTGCTTTTTTAAAATGTTCATAAAATAAAACGGCAGCATGTTTGAGTCACAAAAGCAAGGTTTCCTCTAGTTCTTGCCATTGCTTCTATAGACTGTCAGTGTTCCCTGCAAGCTGTGTGTTTGGGTGGCTACCCTTCAGAGATTTAGGTGCCACACAGCTCATTATTAGAGTACCCATAGGCACCCACATCTGCCAGCATGTGTGTGTATTGGTGGTGCACGTATCAACATTTATTTTGCACATGGATGGAAAAATTAGAGGGAACACTAGCATAATGAAATATAGATTCTTTAAGGTGCTAAATAGTGACCAGGCAGCTCTGCTTGTTCTAGGACCATATTCAGAAAGGACTTTTGGCAGCAAGCTACTGGTCCAGATTGTAGATTTTGTTTTATGAAAAGATTGAAGGTTTTATTTTACAAAATGTTTTCATCAATTTGAAAGGTTTGGGGGGGATTTTAAAATGTAACTGAATCATTGTAAATGAAAGTGAGAGAGAGAGATTGTGTGTGGTTCATATGTAGTCAAACTTGAAACTGAGCAGTGTAGTTTCACTGTCCAGGCTTAATAGCAGAGGGGGGGGAAAAGCATAAATGATGCTCTAAGTAAACAAAAGTTATTTCAGTTTTGCCAACTATAGTTGCTTTTCAGAAATGGCGTTTATATTGACAGTGTCCCTTTAAGAAGTTTAATCTAATCTCCAGTTGCAGATGTCCTATTTGAAATCAATCACCAACTACAAAGGTTGCAAGTGAGCGCAAGTATTGTTCAAGTGGCAGTGCAGGAAAATTCCTTCCACTGCTTTTGCAAAACAAATGTTAGGTTGCCTAGTGTGCCTGCAAGTGAGAGAGGGAGCTTCCAGCTACAGCTGTTCTTCCTGGTCAGGAGCAGAGGGCCAAGAATATTCACAGGCTTCTGTCCTCTCCTTGACCCTAGCTCACAGAAAGTGTCAAGAGTGGCACTGAAGATTGTGACCCCTATCGTCATAACTCTTTTTGTCCTGGCATTGTATCTGCATGCCCAGCAGGTGGAATCCACAGCAAGGCTTGACTTCCTTTGGAAACTGCAGGTAGGTGTGTGTTGTATGTGTTTGCATAATGCGCTGGAGTGGTGTTTCCTAGTGCAAAACAATTACCCTGCAGTGATGGATAATGTGATTGAATGCACACGAATTGGAGCTGGACACCACTGTCAGTCATATGGACCAATAATGCTCTTTGCTTCTGTAGCAACTTTCATTGAAGGGTCTTAAAGCTCTCGACAAAGTTTATCTGCAGGGATGCTACAATACTTCCTTTGGGGGGGGGGGGGGGGGGTACGCGTTATCTCCGTTTTACTGCTGACTACACTGAGGCATAGGCAAGTTGTTAAGCCACTTGCCAAAGGTCACATAGCAGGAGACCATTTCTGTTTTCTTTAACGATGCTGCTGAAATCAGAGACAGGCAGCACAGTTTGCACAGCTTTCAAAAGTTACCATGTGCCTTCGCTTCCTCTAGCATTTGATCTCTATGTAAACAAGCATAGAAACCACCTCTGGAATATCAGCAGAAACCAAGATGAGCAGGCTTTAGTTTGCGGCTTTCAGAAGTATGGCTGTCAGAGTTTGTGTACATTAACATAGTTAGAGCCTATGAATTTTTTGTGCCTTAATTTTGTAAGGCAGCATGACAATTTTACAATCCCTGCAAACATAATTGAGCCAGCCAGGATAATAATCAAAGTAAACCCATCTCATCTTTCAGGCTGCAAGATGGATGCTTGAAGGATTCACAGGGGAGTTTTCAAGTTTGCTCTGACATAAAGCATTTGAGCTGGCTACATGCTTCATAGTTTTTTCCCCTCTTTCAGTCAGACACTGACTGTTTATAGCCTCCCACCCCAGTACTAAATGGATTGATATTCACACGGCAAGATACCACACTAACAGACTAGGATATTTACATAGTGCTGCATGTATCTTCAAACCTCTGAACAGGTGTGAACTGTGTAGTGCCCCCTGGGGACTGAGATAAATATGGTTTACAAATGAGAAAACAGAGAGATGGCCCATGGCTGCTCCAGGATTCAGAACAGAGCCAAGTTTGGTGTTCAGAATTCCCATCAGGAGCTTGGTCCTTCAATCACTTTGTTTCTCCAGATAGATGAAAATGTATTCCGTCAAGGTGGACAGACTGGATTGGCCCTTGCCTGTTCCATGTTCCTGTGTTTCGTGTTAGACTTGGAAAGGTCACATTCCAAAAGGGGCCTTGAACAAATCAGATTCACATTGGCTACAGCTACAGATTTTCTCCCTTCGTTTTCTTTTTTCAGTTTTCAGGCATTTTCAAATTTTCAGAAAAAGGGGGTGAGGCGAGAAGACAGTGATTACTGGCTGTAATGGTGGAAGAGGCACAACACATACAGGTCTGATGACGTTCTCACAGGAGCATCTCCAGTGGAGTTCACAGACTGCAAAGCTGTTGTTAATTAGCTCTATAAAAGAGAGCTCAGAAAGATTATCCATGAAGTCTAAGTCATAGGGCAGGCTCAGACTCTTACATTATTGTATCCAGCTTGTCCTAAGAAAGTACATCCATCCAATAGCTTCAGTTCTATCTCCACATTCCTTAAAATCCATGCACATTGGACCAGTGTCCTGAAACTTAACACCCTGTCTTAACCCCAAAACTTTTCCACCCCCACCACCCCAACATACTTCTTCCCTTCTGCAAAAACCTGGGAGAGCAGATAAGACTTTGCAGACAGAGCTGAAGGTCACCTATGTGCCCTTTTAGCCAAGCAGACTAACGGCATATTGGGGTGCATTAGTAGGAGCATTGCCAGATCTAGAGAAATTATTAGTCTCCTTTATTTAGCACTGGAGAGGCCACATCTGGAGTATTGCATCCAATTCTGGGGCCCCCGTTACAGAAAAGATGTGGATGCATTGGAGAGCATCCAGCGGAGGCAACAAAAATGGTTAGGGGGCTGGAGCACATTACTTATCAAGAGAGGCTGAGGGATTTGGGCTTATTTGGTCTAGAGAAGAGAGAGAGGGGATTTGATAGCAGCCTTCAACTACCTGAAAGGGGGTTCCAAAGAGGATGGAGAGAGGCTGTTCTCACTGGTGACAAATGACAGAATGAGGGAGCAATGGTGTCAGGTTGTAGTGGGAGAGGTCTAGGATGGATATTAGGAAAAACTATTTCATGAGGAGGGTGGTGAAGCACTGGAATGGGTTACCTAGGGAAGTGCTGGAAACTCTATACCTAGGGGTTTTTAAGTCCTGGCTTGACAGAACCCTGGCTGAGATGACTTAGTTGGGGTTGGTCCTGCTTTTAGCAGGAAGTTGGACTCTATGGCAACCTGAGGTCTATTCCAGCCCTATGATTTTGTCGGATGAAGCTTTTCCAACATTTGGCCCGTCTAGACTGGGGCAAATGTCGGGGGAAAAAAACCCTCTTTCAGAAGCTCCCTTATTCCTCATAGAAGGAGGAATACAGAGGCTTCCGAAAGAGTGCATTTGCTCTTCCGCTGAAAAAGGGAAGAGAAAATGCATCTGCTCTCTCAAAAACAAGGAGCTCGGTGGCACTTTAAAGACTAACAGTTTTATTAGGTCATTAGCTTATGCCCTAATGAATTTGTTAGTCTTTAAAGTGCCACCAGACTTCTTGATGTTTTTTGCTGGAACAGACTAACATGGTGACCCCTCTGAAATTCTGCTCTCTGGTTCTGGTATTGTCTTTCCTCCCAAGAAGTAACTAGATTGGACAGCATGACATTCTCTCTCTCTCTCTCTCACTCTCTTCTCAACTAGGCCACTGAAGAGAAAGAGGAAATGGAGGAGCTACAGGCCTACAATAGACGTCTCCTCCACAACATCTTGCCAAAGGACGTGGCAGCCCATTTCCTGGCACAGGAGCGGCGAAATGATGAGCTGTATTACCAGTCCTGTGAGTGTGTGGCTGTCATGTTTGCTTCCATCAGCAACTTCTCGGAGTTCTACGTGGAGTTAGAGGCAAACAACGAAGGGGTGGAATGTCTGAGGCTCCTCAATGAAATTATTGCAGACTTCGATGAAGTGAGTGAGAGGAAACCTAAACCTTTAATATTGCTAGAGTTCTACTGACAGAGCAAACAGTATCTGTTTAACCCTTCCCTCGTGAGAAGGAAGTCATCCAGCAACAGGACCAGTCCAGTCCTCATTACACACATTCTGAGACTTTAGCCTGGTTCAGTTTAAGGTCATTTTCTTTTCTTTTCCTTCCCCCAACAAAGTAATTTCCTTTCCTTTGTGTAGCGCCTAATGTTACCTGGACAGAGATCCATGGATTCTGGCTATATCTTCTCTGAGCTGTGGAAATACTTGTTGCAGTTTTGCATAGTGATTGTATCATGATGCCACACTGTTGCTGTAAAGCTGAGATAAATGGCTATATATACCCCAGAATCCATAATTTCCTCTCCAACTCATCTGATAAAGTGGGTTTTACCCATGAAAGCTCATGACCTAAAAAACGTGTTCGCCTCTATATTTTAACATGTATTAGTTTGCATCAAATTTTAGGTAATAACCTTGTTCTCTTTTTGTGCAAATAGATAATAAGTGAGGACCAATTCCGTCAGCTGGAGAAGATCAAAACCATTGGCAGTACATACATGGCTGCTTCAGGCCTCAATGATACCACTTATGATAAGGTTGGGAAAACACACATCAAAGCTCTAGCTGACTTTGCCATGCGGCTAATGGATCAAATGAAGTACATTAATGAGCATTCATTCAACAACTTCCAGATGAAAATAGGTAAAGTATCTGGGTTGAGTTTAGTGATTTAATTTTTACTGATGTTCATTCCAGCTTGGCTTCTTCATCTAGAGTTAAACATGCAGCTTAGTTTATATTTAGAAGCTCAGTGTTAGCTGATTCCAAGGAACCCAGTCCATGGTGATGGGAAAACTTGGGTCTGTACAAACTGATACAAGTTCTTAGAGGACAGGTGTCCACATTACAAAAACCACTGTAAAATTGGCACAAGTAGACAAGGGACATTGGCAGCAGCAAGGCCAAAGCAGCCACTGGGGCTCTTGTGTAAAGATTCAGGCAGGCGGTCAGTACTGGGAATCTTTCATTATTGCTGGTGCTTTGGAGGATAATTCAAAATGATCTGGACAAACTGGAGAAATGGTCTGAGGTAAACACAATAAGGACAAATGCAAAGTACTCTGCTTAGGAAGGAACAATCAGGTTCACATATAAAAAATGGGAAGCAACTGTCCAGGAAGGAGTACTGCAGGAAGGGATTTATGGGTCATAGTGGACTACTAGCTGAATATGAGTCAAAAGTGTGACACTGTTGCAAAAAAAGCAAAACTGATTTTGGGATGCATTAACAGGAGTGTTGTTAGCAAGACATAAGAAGCAATTATTCTGCTCTACTCTGCATTGATTAGGCCTCAATTCGAGTATTGTGTCCAATTCTGGGCACCACATTTCAAGAAAGATGTGCCGAAACTGGAGAGGATCCAGAGAACAACAAAAATGATTAAAGGTCTAGAGAACATGATCTGTGAGGGAAGACTGAAGGAACTGGGCTTGTTTAGTTTAGAGAAGAGTGAGAGAAGACATCATAGCAGTTTTCAAGTACCTAAAAGGGTGTTACAAGGAGGAGGGAGAAAAATTGTTCTCCTTGTCCTCTGATGATAGGACAAGAAGCAATGGGCTTAAACTGCAGCAAAGGAGGTTAGGTTGGACATTAGGAAAAACTTCCTGTTAGGGTAGTTAAGCACTGGAACAAATTGCCTAGGGAGGTTGTGGAATCTCCATCTCTGGAGATATTTAAGAACAGGCTAGATAAACATCTAGCATGATGCCTGCCCTACAGTGAAAGCAGGGGACTGGACTTGATGACCTCTTGAGGTCTTTTCCAGTTTTAATATTCTATGATTCTGTGACCTGACTTGGATACTAAATTTCCTTTAAAAATAGGGGAAGGACATGAAAGGGAAGAGACTGATAATGCCCTAAAGCAGGGCTACTCAACACGCAGCCCGTGGCCTGTTTGTTTGCGGCCTGCTATGCAGTTTGGGTTTACGTGGGACTCAACACGCAGCCCATGGGTGGTATCCTTTGAACATGGCCTACATTGGGAACATGCTCCACAACGGTGAGGTGTCTCCCAGGCAGGGTGAGCACTGAAAGATGCAAGTGGATGGGCTGGCTGGAACACACGGCATTTCTAGCCCCCAGGGAGTACCAGGGCATTGTTTGAAGTGCTGGCTGCTTAGGCTTGTGGGCAGAGCCTGAGAGGTACTGACTGTCTCCCACTGGCCATGTTTGGGTCCAGCACCACAGCTTAAAGCTGAATCTTTGTATTTGTGCCTGTCAGTGTGAAAGCTATTTGCATATATTTGCATATATATTTGCATTTATATGCAATCACACTTAAGTTGTGGCCCACGGCGTATGCTATATAATTGTGGCCCCTGGGGCTTCCAAAGTTGAGTAGCCCTGCCCTAAAGTGATTTTGAGACTAGGGAAGCCATCACAACTCTGCATTATCCCAGTGGAATACACTTCTCTCAATCTGCCCTCAGCTTTAAAAAACATATTGCGCGTCTGTAAGGTTTTATAGAAAATTCCTGTATTTAGAAAGGGAAATGCCTAGCCCTGGGATAGTCATTCACACATGTGCCTGATGAACAACCTGCTCACATGACTCCTGAAGCGCTGGGGTTTCTTTTCTGTTTCTAGGGTTAAATATTGGTCCTGTGGTAGCCGGGGTAATAGGAGCACGCAAACCTCAGTATGACATCTGGGGAAACACAGTCAATGTAGCCAGTCGAATGGACAGTACAGGTGTTCCTGATAGAATTCAGGTGAGTTTTAATGTACAGAAAACACATATTTTACCTATCATCTTTTATGGGATTTTCAATCTAACCCAAACCCAGGATAGACTAGTGATTCTCCAGCCCTATGAAGGTAGAAATGGAAACATTTCAACCCAGACAACAAAGCATGAGAAAAATGTCCTAAGGAACAATTCTGTAGTGAACAGACTGCAGTAGTTCAGATCTTAATAGGACTTTGCCAGCTCTGTTTTTTTCAAGGTTTCAATATTTTAATGAGCTACCTCTAACATACTACTCAAGAAAAAAAACATGTCTACGAAATTATCAGACTTTGTAACACACTGATAGATCCTGAAATGTAATTGCACTCGTTGCGTTAATATCAGGCAATGGAAAAATCAGTGGGACATTGCAAAAAGATGATTGGATCAGCTTTTGTGTATACAAAGGTCAGCTGATAGCCCTCAAACATAAAGGATTTGGGACTTGATTTTCAGAGGTACTTAGGTGCCTAATGGGATTTTTAAAAGAGCCTAAGCAGACCAGAGGTCTAACTCCCACTAGGCAGAACCGAGGACTAGATTACAAGGGGAGTTAGTTGCCTAAACTGCTTCTTTAGGCACCTGAATATCTTTGTAAATGTGGCACCTGGGCCCTTGAAAATGTTGTCATTAAATGGCATCTCCCTTCAAGAGTTGCCAGCTGTCACAGTATGAAACTAGATAGTGCCTGAACAAACCTTGTCTTTCCCCCAATTTAATCACCTAGTGTGTTTCTTATTTGCTTGCAGCTTCTTGAGAAATGACATGGGTCGCATGTGTTAAATATTTAATCTGTTAAAGGGTTTACTTTACTTCACGGTGGCCACAATTTAAATGAATTTCCAATCCACTTCCCTAGCAGCACCCTATTTTCACAGGGATGCATTATACACTGCCAAGCATTCCACTGAGGTTCTATGACTAGGGATAAAAATTTGTCACAGAGGTCAGAGATGCCATGGCTTTCTGGGACCTCTGTGACTACTTCTGGGGAAGGGCAGGAGCAACAGCTACTGGAACGAGTAGCTGGCAGTCAGCTCCAGGGCTGCCAGAACAGCTGGCTAGAGGAACAACCACAGGGCCACTGGAGCAGCAACCAGGATGGTCTGCAAGAATAGCTGGGCAGCCACAGGACTGGCAGATCAGTGTTTGGGGTCAGGTCAGCAGAGCAGCAGCAGTCAGCACTGGCCATGGAAGCTGTGTGCTGTCATCCTCTCCCTGTCCCCCTCAAATATTTTTAGGGTCAGGTTGTGGGCTTCTGTACATTTGTGTTTATTGCCTGCAAGCCATCTGTCACTTCTACTAAAAATACCCATGACAGAATCAGTCTGAGCTATGTCTTACCTTTTTTTTTTGGGGGGGGGGGGCACTAGCCCAGCACTCCTTTCATCTAAGCAGATACTGGAGACATGAAATGGGATATTTCCTTCCCTCTGGTATCATGACCTTGCATGTCACCTGGGTTCTAGAGACAAGCTCTCATTTTTTTTCATAGTGAGCCCTTATAGCCTTCCTTTCTAGCAAATCAATTTCAGCAGAATAAATGAAAGGATTACTAGTAAGGTTTCCTTCTCAGCCTCTAGAATTGTGACCTTCAGCTGGCGTGCAGCTGGATGTGCCCAATATGACCTTGAAACTCAATTGTTTGCAGCTTTTATCAGTTATGTGACTTGTGCTGGCTACCTTCCTATAAACTGGTTGATACAAGTAAGCAAATTTTTACAAAACATTACACCCAAAATTAATTGCATGTGTGAATTACATGGCTGAAGAAAGATGGTGTAGAGATGGGGGTGAGCGCCTTTCTCAGTTTTGCTATCACTTCTAATCTGTTCTTTCTCTGCAGGTGACCACAGACATGTATCAGGTTTTAGCAGCCAACAGTTATCAGCTGGAATATCGAGGGGTTGTTAAGGTAAAGGGTAAAGGAGAAATGACCACCTACTTCCTAAATGAAGGGCCACCAATCAGTTAGCAGCAACTGTGACACAACTCTAAAAATGGCATTTGCATGGCGAGGAATTGCTCTTTAGCTGTGGACCCAAAAATACAGTGCAGTTGCATTTTTTCATGCAACAAGTTTAGAGCATGGTACAGACAAACACACTTTAGCCAAATACCATGCAGTGCAGAAGAAAGAAACCCCTGTGGATTAATTCCCAGTTGAGTGCTATATCGACCAAAGATGCACCTCCATGGAATTTTAAGCTAAAAGAAATGAATGAGCTTTTAAAATGAGGCTGCTGCACAGGATTTAAGATATTTATTTATTGAAGTTACACAGAATTTTACTTGGTTGAAGGAATGTATGGTTCACTACAAAGCGTTATTTTGGAAAGGATTTGCACTTCTATAATGTTTCCGTTCCATATGGTCAGCTCTTTCAAGTGTACGACTATTCTTTAACTAGCTGTTTTGAGTAGGCTTTCAAAATTAAAAATGACACCCACTCTTCTACACAAAAGGCCTTTCAGAACAGCCTCAGTAATGTTTTTAGGTTGAAAAAAGACACCTTGCTATAGAAAACTGTCCCCTTTTTCTTACATGCCTAACAGACTACTCTTCTGAATAGAACTGGTACACCTAAGATCAAGCTGAGGAAACATGGCTCTGCAAACATATTTATTTAATAAATCTTCTCTGCGCTTCTTTGGTGTATATGTATATATATCAGTTTACATGTGAAAGACAAGATGAAAACAAGAGACACTAAGAGGAATCATTCCTCAAATTTCTTGTTTTTGTATTTTTTATTTTGTAATATTGAAAACATGGAAATCTAACAGATATACCAAAATCTATATTTTGTAAATTATATATATATATTAGAAAAAAGTCTGTCCACACCAGCGTGTGGTGAGTTGTGTATATATAACTTGCAGAACTGTGTAACATTCCGTGCATTATTCTCTGAATACAGACTTGGCAGTTTTCAGATTAAGAGTAAACAATCAACAGCTGATGAGATTGCGGGCTGAGTCAAATGCATTTTTAAGTAAAAATTCAGAAAGTAAAAATTCAGAAAATACTCAGAGAAAAAAATCAAGTACAATAATCATTACAAACAACTGTGCATTTCAGAATTCAAGATGCAGCTGGAGGTGATAGTGCCATGCGTGGAAGTAGAATATGAGATAAATAATTGAACTATTGGGAATATCAATCGAGCATAACAGGGGAGGGAGAGCACTAATCAAATCTTCATCTGAAAGTAGCAAAAACTGTTACACCGGAACAAAACGAAGATCATTTTCTTTAAAATTGTCACCAAAAAAGTGTCCAAGATGCTCTAAGTGCCACTTGCCTTTACAAAAGAACTATGTACTACGTTGCCAGATTGACTGACATTTAATTGAATTAATGATTCATAGCTATTTTAAGAGTTAGGTGATTTTATCTTTTAAAAAAGACAAATGGACAATTTGTATGTGGTAAATAGTATGACAGATATATCATGGGGGGGGTAAATGAATAATTCATTGTTATGGTTTATGTACCTTTTTAACTTGTAAAGAATAAACCCTTGCTATTTTATTTTTTGAAAAGCATTTTAAAACCCTATTTTTTTATATTCTATGAGGGGAGAGTTTTGATACTGGATTTGGCTATCACTAAAATGACTCCACTGTTTTGACATTCAGTAAAGTTCTTTTCAACTCTTCTCAGGGTAAAAATTACTGTATTAACAATTTAATGATTGCACTATAGTGGTATTTATAAAATAGGTGTTTCACTTCATTTTTTACAAGAAGAGTAAGTTAAAATCCATTGGCCTATCCTAATTAATTTGCTAAGCATCCAGCCATTTAAACTTCAGCTTAAATGGCACCTCTATGACCTTTCCTTTTCCTCTTTAACAGGACACATCCTTGAAAAGTATAGTATATTGACTTCTGTAAAACTGCCAAGTCTGCCCTTGTACTATACTTTTGCTGCTTTGCATTTTCTGATTTGCAAAATATTTTCATTACATGGCACAACGCCCTTTCCTTCCACCCTCTGTCCCTTTTTACCACTGAGTTTCATTACTTTCATGATATACATTCATTTTTAGGTTTGTTTTCTACTTTACTAAAACTCTGTATTCTTAACTGTTGATCAGTCTGCTGCTCCACCTTGCACAGCTGTGTTGTCAATTATATTCTGAATCCCCAGTATCTCTGACTGTGATTGTTGACAGTGTGTCATGATCATTTCAAGGGGTATACACTCTTTATTTTAGCTCTTACAAAAATTGATACAATTATGATTTCCCATGGAAATTGAAATCTATTTAAGTAATTTAACGATATTAAACACTGTTTCACTGGTAACATGTCTTTGCTCTACCTTTTATTTAAGATAACTGGTTTGTGAAAATACGTTTGTGCAGCAAATGATAATTATGCACACATTTTGGGAGTTCTGTATTTAAATGTAACTGAGGTATAGAAAACTTAGAACTGTATTTGAATATATTTGGCCAGTTGCACAATCTAGGCTACATACTGTGAGACTATGTGAGCACAGATCCACTTAATTCTTATGTGTACTATGAACATCCCACTCTGTGTTTATTCTTTGTTTACTGTGGAGCCATCTAAGGTACATTAGAACCAATAACAGAAAGCCTGGTTACATCTGGCATATTTAAATAGATGCTAGTAACTCATCTACCTTGAAATAGCTACTCTACCTACAATGGTACATTTTTGCTGCACGTGATTAATTTGCTACTATTTTCAAAGTTTATTAAATGTACCACACCGTTGGGATTAGAACAGGGATGGACAAAAGGGCCTCCATGGACCAGATCCAGCCCACAGAGGCCCTTGCTCCCTCCCCCAGGCCAATCAGGGCTGGGGTGTAGTACGCAAAGTCATCTCCTGCCTTGCTAGGGGCTCTGCACTTAGAGTCAATTGCCAGCTGTTCAGAACAAGCTGGCAATTGACTAAGTGCAGGGCAGGGGCAGGGAGCGAGAGATTTCACATGGTCCCCAGGCCTGATGGACCTGGGGTCCGCAAGGAGTACATGAAGTCTCCTCCCAAAGCCAGGGGCACAGGTACCTAAAAGGAACCGCCAGCTGTTCAGAATAGCTGGTGTTTATCAGGGTCTGTGGGTGGGGGAAGCAGGAAGTGTCCCAGCCTCTTCATTTTGGGGGCAGCCTGGGGCCACCTCAAATTTCTGAAGTGGCCCCCAGCCAAAAATTATTGCCCACCCCCTGCATTACAAGGATGAGGCACTTCTCCAGAGGGATTCAAGTAACCCCTCCTAGAACCAAGAGCAATACTGACGTGAATACCACATTGCCTTTCAGTTGTCCTGGGGAGTTAGTGGTGTAATACAAACTAGTTCACTTGAAAATAGCACCTAAGAGATTTAACCACTTAACTGTCATCCACAAAACTTCTGCAGAGCTCTGTTTCTCTGCTAGTAGGCAGTGGCACAGCAACGTAAATGCATATGCTGCCCCATAGCTAATAAGCTTTTTCACTTTGAATAATTAAATATTGATTGGAGCAAGGCCTTTAACCTGAGGCTATGTTTATACCACCACTTACATTGGTGGAACTCTCACCCCCAGGTGACATAAGCACTGGTGTGGACAGCATTATGTCAGCAAGACAGCGTTTCCCACCACCATAACTACTGCTCTCCTTGCAAGGGCTAGAATAATTTAAATGGTCAGGAAAGAGCTCTGCTGTCAGCTTGTGTGGCCACAAAGTTTACAGTGATGCAGCTGCAAACTCTCTAGTGTAGCCATGCCCTCTCTGGAACCTGGTTGCTTCAACTTGATATCAGGGCCCTTAAGGACTTAGGGCATAGCAACCCTGAACTTCATAATATGTGCTTTAAATATTCAATAAGATGACATAGCCTGTAGTGTTTGAAAAATTATACCTATGTCTACACTGCAGGCTTTGTGCAAGAACAGTTCTTGCACAAAAACTTGCAGAGCATCTACACTGCACATGCATTCTTGCGCAAGTAAATTTACAGTAAAGCGTAGGAAAACAGGGCTTCTTGCGCAAAAGTTATTCCTCTCCCCATGAGGAATAAGCCCTCTTGAGCAAAAGCTCTTCCACAAGAAGGCAGTGTGGACGGGCAACAGGCGGTTTCTTGCACAAGAAAGCCCTATGGCTAAAATGTCAATCAGAGCTTTCTTGCACAAGAGAGCATCCACACTGCCATGGACGCTCTTGCGCAAAAGCACATAGCAGTGTGGACACACACTTGCACAAGAAGCCTGCAGTGTAGCTGTAGCCTAAGTGGTCAGGCCCTGCTATTACAGAAAAAGGAGCATCAATTGAGAATGATTAAGCACCTGACTTACTGACAGTGACTTTTTTTTTTAACTGAGTTTACTCTTTATTCAGAGAAAACAAGGACAATTTTTTTTAAAAAAAAAAAAGCAATAAACCCTATTATGAACCACTTGCATTTCCTTGCCCAAGTAAAGATATCTGGAATCTTGTACTTTGGGGGAGGGAGGGGGTGAAATATGTTGACTAGAAACCCACAGCCACTATATCTCCCTAGAATCTGAATTTCCCTTTTTAAAATCTCAGCGATATACAAATATTGCCATCTGCTGGAAACAATGTTACGCTTCAGGCAAGCCACTATGTTAATGCCACATTTTTTTAAACAACCAAAACCAAACACAGCATCATAAAGATCAGAGATGGAAAAGGTGCAGGGGACTACATTCAAAACGCATGATAGAATGTATCTGAAGGCGAGGGCATGCTGTATCCAATATTAACCTGATGCTATACTTTCTCTAACCTATAATGACCAAAAGCAGATGAAAGAAACCCCAAGACCACATGTCCCTTTTCCTAGCCAACTTATTAGACAAGAGTGAGGTTTTTTTGGTAAAGTGAACTTAAAACTCTGGTCTGAGGATTGCATTCCCCACTAAGCTACCACATCATCTTTAAAATGATATAGAAACATTAAAAGGACTTTTTCTAGCTTTGCTCATCTGTGAATTAGACCCCAAATTCCAAGCTAATCTCCCTGACTATGCATGACTGTTCCCTTATGCACCAGTCTTTTTTTAATCTACCCTAATGTTTGTATGCCATCAGAGTGCCCAACTTTTCTCTGTAAAGGTTATTCTACAGCCTAATCCAGCTCACTGAAGCTCATGAAAAACTTCCTGACAATCTAATTTTCCTTGTCTTAATTTTATCCCATCATTAGCAATTATATCCCGTCATCATCTGATTCACTCTCTCACACACTTACCTGTGGGGCCAATTGAGCTGCATCAGAGATGACTATGATTTCTTATGTAAAAACCCTGTAAAATAACTTAGAAATGCCTGTTCAAAGATTCTTGCGTCAGTTCTGCAGATTAACCCACCCAATCAGCTCCTTGCTGAAATTACTGGGGATTCTAGAGACAGACTCCTGTGCCATTATGAATCCAATTACAGGATTAGAGTACTATTGAGGTTTTCTTCCACTACCACTAAAAACAAAAAGCCTCCCCTCTGCAACATGTCCAATTATGGAAAACCGTTGACACTACAAGCATTCACAAACATCCATTTTTACAATGGCTGGCTGATAAATGTGTCAAACGCTGCTTTTCTGAGGTTACAATCTTGTCGAGCCAAAAGAGCACGTTTAGTGTTTATATAGTAAGTAGAAATGCATTAACATTTACAATGGAGGGCATTTAAAAAAAGCAATTCATGTAGTGGTGAGGGAGAGGAGGGGAGAAGCCTAAACAGAAGTCATTGCACCTTTGCTAAAGAAACTAATTATTAAAGACACAGCAATGGATGTTGAATAACCTTACCTTTAAGAAATTGATAGCCTTTAAAACAATATTGTTCTAACTCCAGTCAGTCATCTGACAGGGAGAAAATGAGTCCAACTGAGACAAAAGGATGATTGGATTAAACCTGATACATTATCAACTAAATACTTAAACTGCCCAAAAAAAACCCCAGTACAGGCAATCCCCGATTTACGCGGATCCGACTTATGTCGTATCCGCAGTTACGAACGGGGCTGCCCCAGAGTACACGGACTGCGGGACCTCGCGGTCCTGCCGCCCGTGTACTCTGGGGCTTTCTCTGCGTCTCCCTGGTCTGCAGACCAGGAAGACGCAGAGCAAAGCCGCGGAGGGGCTCAGGCAGCCGGGCAGCCCAGGCACGCCTGGGCTGTCCCGCCGCCGGCTTCCCCCGCAGCTTTGCAAAGCCACGGAGGGGCTGGGGCTCCGGGGCAGCCCAGGCGCGCCTGGGCTGTCCTGTCCTCTCCAGCAGACCAGGGAGATGGGGAGCAAAGCCTCGGAGCACGCCAGCAGTGGGACAGCGTGGCGCGCCTGGACTGTCCCGCTGCCCGCGTGCTCTGCGGCTTTGCTCCGCGTCTCCCAGGTCAGCAGACCAGAGAGATGGAGCAAAGCCGTGGAGGACTTGGGCGGTCCCGCCACCCCCGTATCCCTGGTCTGCTGGGGGAGGGGTGCAGCTAGTGCCCCCCCCAGCAGACCAGGCTTTTCTTGCCTACCCCTGGGGTAGAGCAGCTGGGGGCTGCCGGGTTGGTCCCGCAGCGCCACTCCGAACCAACCCGGCAGCACCCCAGCTGCTCTGCCCCAGGCGTCCTGATTCAGCCGCTGCCGGGCTGTTTCAGACGCGG